TTCTGAAGTATGTTCGCTGTTCAGTCGGAAAAAGTACACTAATTGTACCAGAAATTACAAAAAAGGACGCATACTGATATAACTTCCCCAAGCACAGTTAGTGTTGTGATAAAGGATATCGTGATAACAGAAGTTAATATGAAGGTGCACTTTTTTCGTCCGGGAGGGAGATCAAAATAGTTCATGGACTTTGTCACGGTCATCCAGTTCACTCATCATCAGCAACATTCTGGGTAAACAATCGATTGCTGTATAGTTGTTGGATGCCTCACCAAATGGAAATGTCAAAAATCTTACCGAATTCGAAAAGCCGAAGATGGAGAAGATGGAGAAGTCAAAGACGGTTAAGATCCATTGAAAAGTTGCAAATTTAAAGACGGTCAGTGACCCGGATGTTGTGCGAAATGTACACCAATAACTGTCGAGTTCAAGGATCAACAATCAATTTCCAGAGACCGAAAGATCCAAACATATTATAATGATGTACACAAACGTAGAGAATCTTTTCAAAAAGTGGATAAAATTTGACTGACCGTGGCCTATTTGCAACCTGATTTTATAGCTCTAACAGAAGCATGTTTGAATGAGCAGATAGCAGACGCAGATGTCACTATAGACGGACTTCGGTTTTTCGGCATAAATCGAAATGGCAACGTGTGGGGGAATCACGACATTCATACGGGACGACATTAGTTACGTCACAGATGAGTCCTCTCCAAAAGGGAACGCCGCCTGCGAAATCAGTAGTTTTAAACTGAAAGTACCAGACCAAAAAGATCTCCACATTGCGCCGGTATAAGAGCCCTGGACAGCGGAAGGATATGGACGATGCACTCATTACAGAGTTAAAGCAAATCGGCCGTGGCAAAAATGTAATAATATTTGGAAATGTTAATACTGCAGACATCGATTGGGAATAAATGCACAGCATACAATCAGAAAATGCGTTCGAAGGGAAGCTAATTCATTTGGTCACCGACGAATTCCTTACTCAACATGTTCCAGTGGGCACTCGATTCCAAAGTAAATAGCAGTCAAGCTGTTTGGACATCAGATTACTAGGAATCAAAACTGTGTCCTTCGAATGATTTCATACACGCCCCTGGACCGAAGTGGCCATTGCGTTCTTGTTTGGGAGGGCA